CTCAGCTCGGATGGCGACATCAAAATTCTAATGGGTGGGGCGACATGAATGCCAAACTGGGAGCAGACAACACAGGAAGAGAACTAGCCATGGGCTGAGAAGCGCTCGGTGAGGTGATGAACGAGAATGCAGAACTGTTTGCAAAATTCTGTGCATCCAACGATTTGGTGATTGTAGTGGGGCAGTGTGTTCAAGCACAAGGATATCCACAAAGCGACATGGGTTTGATTTCACTAGACACCAGGACACGCTACACCAAAAACCAGATCGACTTCATGTCAATGTGAAGAAAGTGGAGACGCCACCTACTTGACACAAGGTCAATAAGAGGAGCAGATGTAGGTTCACACCACTCACTGTCTAGTGCAAGCAAACTACCTTCCAAATCAAGTTAAAAGCCTTCAAGGAAGCTGGCGATAGACCGCAGTTCAAGTACAACACTCGGAAACTGAAGGACGAAACTACAAAGGAAATCTTCACGGCAACCGTCAAGACAAAATGGGAGATATCGAGCAATATCTCTGAAGGAACCTGTGTGGAAGAACACTGGAAGTCTTTGAAAGCTATATGGAAAGAAACCTGCATAACCATATTAGGAAGTAAGAAGAAAGAAGATAAGGAATGGATCTCGACGGATGCATGGAAGCTGATACAGCAGGGAGAGGAGGGTGGTGAGGCAGAAGATAGACCAGTGCAAGGATGCTCAACGACAAGAGGAACTGAGTACAGTGTATAAAACACTACACTAGACAAAGAAGTGAAGAAGAGTGCACGCGAAGACAAAAGACACTTCTACGAAACACTGGCAAGTGAAGTAGAACAGGCTGGAGGCGGGTAAGAGAGATCTGACAACATTGTATCAAATAACCAGGTTACAGTCTATCTGGGAAGAGATCAACGCAGACGAAACCAATAAAAGATGATGACGGAAATTTAATTACGAAAGAAGAGAAACAAAGGAAACAATGGGCCAACCACTTCAAGAAGCTCTTGAATCGACCACCACCTGCAGCCGCACAACTACAAGTGAACATAAATCCTCCAACAAAAATAGAAGTCCAGAGCGCCACAGAGCTACTGAAATGCGGGAAAGCAGCAGGACCAGATAAGATCCCGCCAGAAACACTGGCAACAGACGCAGAGACAAGAGCAGAGGAGATGCTCACACCACACCACTATTGCACAGGGTATGGAAGGAAGAGAAGGTACCTGGCCATTGATTGGAAGAAGGCCTACCTTGTCAAACTGCCGAAGAAGGGAGACCTCAGTGTTTGCAAGAACTGGCGCCGAATCACTCACCTATCCAACCAGAGCAAGCAAAATATTAAGCCGCATCATCCTGGAGAGGCTAAAGGGTGCACTGGGTTCAAAATTAACACCGGAACAGGCTGGTCGGCTAGATTCAGGAAGTACAAATCATGTGCAGACCAAATTGCAACGCTACACTACGCATCATCATAGAAGAGAGTATAGAATGGCAGTCAACCCTCTACCTCACCTCAACTTCATCGATTTTGAGAAGGCATTTGACAGCGTCGACCGAGAGGAAATGTGGAAACTGCTTCAATACTATGGAATACCACAAACCTTTATCAGCCTCATTCAACAACTATATGCAGACGCCACATACCAGCCAAGTAATTCACAATGGGAAGCTCAGTGATGCTTTTGAAGTGAAGACAGGAGTAAAATAAGGCTGCCGTCTACTATAACACATGATATTCCTGATTGTGGTCGACTGGATCATGCAGTAAACAGTGGGGAGCGAGAAGATCGGCATACGCTGACTGGACTGCGGAAAAGAACCTAGAAGATTTGGATTTCGCCAACGATGACTTGTGCCTGATGTCACATAAACTTGAAGATGTACAGGCGAAAACTAACAAGTTGACAGAAGAGGTGAGGCAGCGAACACGTGACACCATTCAAGTGAATATAGAGAAGACAGAGGTGATGAAGATACCGCACCAACAACTACAACCACCATGAATGGGAGAAACTTAAAGGAAGTAGCCTTCTTCACCTATCTAGGCAGCACTTCCAACTACACATCACGGCACAGACGAGGATGTTAAAACTGGAATCGGAAAAGCAAGACAGGCGTTTATTAGCCTGAAACCAGTGTGGAGATCTGCACTCAGCATGTGGAACAAGATCCGGATTTTCAACACCAACGTCAAGTCAGTGCTTCTGTATGGTTCAGAGACTTGGCGCGTTACGAAAGGGATTTCCAACAAACCAAAGACATTTATCAACAACTGCCTACGCTGGCTCGTTACTGAAGATCGGATGGCCAGAATAATAAGAATAAGCAACAAGGAACTCTGGCCTGCTAACGAACCAACCAAGAACCTAACACGCAACAAATATGCAGGAGGAAGTGAAGATGGATTGGGCATACACTGGGAAGGTTGATTGGGGACATCACGTGCCAGGCCAGGTAGTCGAGTGGAATGTAAAGGAGAAACGACGAGTTGGGCGTCCGAGGTGAGGGTGACATGGAGGAGATCGGGTGAGGAGGAAATGAGAGCTTCTGGGCTGTCGTGGAGCCAGGTTCAAAAGGTTTCAGAGAACAGGGTTCACTGGGAACGTGCTACTGAAGCTCCATGTTCCATTAGGAAGCCAAGGGACTAATAATAATAATAATAATTACAATGTGATACGTCGAGTACATTAACTGAAATGAGATTTACCACCACCAACATTATGGTAAATCTCATTATTCATTGAAATGAAGTCATCTGACGACAAGTCTTCATCACATAGCTTGTATATCATCCAATGTATTCACATAAACTATTTCACAAAGCTAGCGTTTAAGTATCGTAGAGTGGAGAATGGTCGTGTTAGCCCCAGTTTGTGCACTCCAACTCCACTGGCTCTGCTCTCAGAGACGAATCTACTCGGTGGCTTTTATTTTCGTCAGACACTAGTTCAATAACTCTTATCATGACATTTTCTGCATAGGGGGCACGACGAGTTTGAGATAATGAAGTTTTTAATCATACCCTGATAATTGCTTCGTATAACTGATATAAATTGAAGACAACTATATAAAAACTGATTTATGTACGATTTCAGTTCTGTCTTCGCAACTTAATCAGTATGAGACGACCCACTAATATCACAGCTATCTTTGGTTACCCACCCACTCAGTATATTACTTTAGACTAACCGACAGGATTCACGGGAATGTGATATGCCAGTAAAATTCTCTCTTATACAACTATCTCTTATCCCCAATGCAACTGTATAAATAATTTAGAACCACAGAAGTTGATTTAGCTAGAAAGATGTTCGGTGAAGAAATAACTATCACTTTTGATGCAAACAATTGAATCAGTGTTACTTACAAAGTATACACCTTATGTATGATGCCGAATAGAGAACGATAGTTAAGTTGGCAATCCATAAAACTACCTAGCGTAGTATTAAAGCGTGGAATAAGGTTGCTGAAATCTTCATAAGCAGCTGTAAATCCCGGATGCCTATTGCAACTAATTGTTTTGCTCAGAAGTTTCGGGAAGAAACACGTGAACCTATGTGTGATTATCAGATTGGTTGAAGAGACAAAAATCAATAGGATACTCAAATCTAGGAAGGCCTGGAAAAACCCTAGGCTATTGTAAATACATACAAGCCCTTGTATATACTTTTGACGTTACAGTACACCCTCTGTTATCTTACCACCTTTTACGTTTATCAGGAAATTGAGCCACAATTAAGGGGCGAGGTCTGAACGTTATTGTCCAAGCGTCCACCTATATGTAACTGAGGTTATATGAAGTACTCACTACAAGATTATAACAAGTAGTAACTGGGGTTATAAACCTAGACACACTGTGTGACTGGTAAACAGCACAGGATTTGATAGTAATATGTATCTCGTCATTTATTGACAAAGATTGACTGCATCTCACTAGGCGCAAAACACACCGGTGTGAGTCCTTCTTAACTGCTTATCTCATACCAGTCATAAATCCCATGGTACATTACCCAACGGATTTTGCTCTACGATTATTTACGCTTTCTACACCATACCCAATGCAATATCATGGACAGTGAGGGTAGATAAGAGTTCCTGATTATTTTAAAGGACAACTGTACGTTGAATTCAATTTATAAGCTTCACTTCCTTGTTATTGTTTCTAAAATGTCATTGATGATGAAGTTCAGACGGGATTACAAAAGTGAGAAAGACGTTTCGCCAACCTATTGTTGTCTTAAGCACGCCAAAGCATTCATAATCGAAGCGTACTCAGTGCAGCAGACAATAAGGTATACCTACTCTCTGAGAGTTAATAATACTAATTGACTGAGGAAACATGGGTAGGTGGAGAGGGGTTCGAACCCATGATTCACTGCCCGGAAATCAAATACCTAGAGTAAGGAGTCACAACTCTGGAATATTGTTGCCAACAAACTTCGTGCTGTTGCGCAATGACTCAAGATACGTTTCGGGCTCAAATCCCGCCCCACCCAATTCAATAGACTTCAATAAAAGCAGCCATGTAGTATCAAAAAGCGTTCAGACAGTAAGCGTGGCTCATCGCCTGGTACACAAACACCTGTATCGAAATGAGTCATGGCATACACTCGCCTCAGGATATTAATGAATGCATCTTCGAAAATTATTTTTGAATAGTTGCTCATTCAAAAGGATAGGAACCAAAAAATGACCTAGGAGAAAGCAGCAATCAACTGGCTTCTGAGGACATGACATTTTTCTGTTATCTAGGTAGAGCAGGAAGACACTCATTGGATTTAAAACGTAATTAACAATCAACCCTGTTTCGCAATTACTCATTCTTGAATGTTGTACTGAATAATTAACGCAAAAGCATCCAATATTTGCAAGAAAGCTCTGACTCCAGATAAACAAATAAACTGAAACAACTTCACAGGTTAACCCAGTATGACCAATTTTTTTCTCATGAGGGATCTACACACTATATTACGCTGAGATGCATCCACAGACACCAAGAATTTAAAAGTACATTGCAGAAGCTCAGTGCCAAAATGAACGACAATTATTATGTTTAGTCATGCCTATATGCCTATCTACCAGAGTCGTGATTCGCAGACAAAAGTTATTTTCTGGATTATGAAACTTGAAAAAAATGTAGCCGACGTCAGCGACCAAGTAAAAGTCTCCTCTTTGAGCAACGTGGAAACTATAAGTGACCTAAAAGTCTACAGCAGAATGAATTGGTGCACCAGCAATCAAAGTAAATGCGTAGGCATTGGATGATTTCAGTTCTCAACCCGTAAATAATAGGCATTAAAATTATAATATGACCATGAATAAATAAAGTGGTTATGATGGATAATGGCTAACAGTGGAATGCAGGACGTGTGATTTGTCTTATTTGAGACTCATTAGCTGGGTGTACATAAATATTAAAAGTGGCTATACATGATAGTAGAAGTATGAGATACTTTGTAAAAGAAACGTATCTTACTAGTTATTTCAAGAAACAAGATCAACAGTCATTCACATACACACATAAATTGACTAAACAGTCGAACAAACATTTCCAGTAAGTGAGAAAAACATGAATACTGTGAAAATCGTAATGAAACTGAATCAACTCATAAACTTAGACACAGAGAAATGAAACATAATCACAACTAACAACGATGGGAGAAAAAGAAGAGAGATGAGTACATGAAGTCAGCATGTATATATATATATATATATATATATATATATATATATATATATATATATATATAGGGGGCATTCACGAGAGATGATCAAGTTTATGGCGGTTTTGCAAAAGCAGCAAGTGGTCAATTTAAAAAAAAATTGAAAAAAACTTAAAAATTCTAACACCTACAGTCTTCCCCACAACGAAGTATCCAACTGGATTATACCCATGAAAAATTTGTGCATTGTGGACAGAATCAACTTATCAGAAGTATATTTTTAAGGAATGTGTTACACACAATGAGATGCTATTTAGTTTTTGGTAATTCTACTCGAAATATTACTAAAAACTAGATAACATCTCATTGTGTGTAACACATTCATTAAAAATATACTTCTTATAAGTTAATCCAATTAGACACTACAAAGAACAGATACACACAATCACTGAGAATGTGAAAAATACACACAGAGAGAAAGGAGAATTACACAATTAGAAGCAGAAGATAAAACAAGTTGGAAAAAAAGCTATTCAACAACTAACCAACTAGTCAAATATTGGTCTTACTATTTTCAACGATGCATTTTTTTTAGCTAAGGAGGAAAAGGAAATGCTTATTCATTCATTTATGAATGTAACAGTGAGAAATTGAAACATCAAACTGTTAACACCTCGGTACCTATTCCTCGTACTCCAGATATAATCCAAAGAAGAATAGAATAGTGAATTGGTGGTAGGTAATAAGATATATCAAGGAAACAATGACTTCAGCGGGTGCATGTGAAGGAGATTTCATACACAAAAGAGATATGATCTTGTAGCTTTTACAAAACATTACTGTTAAGATTGTCTGGGACGTTTACGAGCCCAACATCGAAGAGGGAGTTGTTGTGAGGCAAGGCTACGAAAGCATTCATTCAATAAGCGTGGACGATGTCGAACTAGCTGTTCATAGCCTTCAGTTTCACAGACATCATGAGCATGTCTGAAATAAGAAAGGTAAACATCTTATTATCATTATCATCGTATAAAAATGAATATATCAAAATTAACAGTCATTATTCGCACAATTAAATTACACCTTTATTAGTCTGAATAATGATGGAATTAATTCTGAATTTCCTTGCTTTTTTCGTCTGCTAAGGCAGTTAAAACAGCGAAGATGATTTCTTGATCAAAATCCATAACCATTAAGACTTCTGTTTGCAATAACCAACCACAAATCAAATAAAAAGTACCAAAAAACTTTAGAAATTTCATATCAAGTACCCTAAACTGACTACTACCAATAATTGGGCAACAGAAGTGTTAATGACTATCATTTCCTAGTCATTGCAAAGAGGGACTAGTAACACAAAATACCAAAATAGATGCATAATACTGCGACAGACGGACAAAATCTATAGAGGACCTGACATTACAGTGTAGTGGCTGCCACGCCTCATATCAGCACAACAAGCGAGAAAGTACTAAGACGAAGGATAAAGAAATAAAGAACGCAATCGAAACTGGCAGAAAGTTATGATAAGGTAACATGGAGGAATCAGAAAATACTGAAGCCAGTATGATGATTAGGCTAAAGATATTGTGTGGAAACACATCTGCATCATTGCAGTAGATTCTGAGCAATATCACTGAAAGATTGCAAACACTGGGTCCCGTTGTCAGCCAGGAAGACTTCAGGAAATGATGTCAGGTCTTGCTCTGGCCACTTCTAACCTTTTTCTAGCCTAACTCCACTTCAGAGGACAATGTGTGACGAGGTAGACAGTAGCTGAGCACGCGTAACGCAGCAAACTACCACATGCAGATTCTCTGATCATCAAGAAACCTGAATACGTAAGTAAGGTAAGAACCAAAGCGTACTAGTCAGCTGTTAAATTACAGTAGTGCTAACTGACTTTTAAGTGCGCCACTCCGATGGACCACCTTTACGTGTACTCCGGTGGATGAGTGTCAGCAGTGAACATCACAGTAAAGCAGAAGATATACTTACACTTAGCCCTGGTCTATTCATCTTTTTAAATTATACAACTTTGGATGACAAGTTATCCATGTTAGTGACCGCAGTAATTCAATAAATACGTGATAGAAGTATCATTTGGTGGTCAGTTTGTTAGTTTTTTTGACCATGAACTGATTTCAGTTATTCGGACAGCCATAAGTCAAGTATTACTTAGCAAACAAATTTCAGCTCTAATGAAATGGCCATCATCTATCAGTGACATCACAATACTTTGATGTATCATCTCATAAGTATCTTGTCAATACGTGCATTGGACTATCCAAAGGTGCACCAAGAATGCACACCTGTAAACCCTATTTTCGACGTGATAGGATCTCTTTATCACCGTATCATCCGATGGTTAGTCAAAATCTTGGAGTCTATAAGAAGGCAAGTCTCAAATCATACAATTCACGATTCTTTTGATAATTTAAATTGCTGCAGCAAAATTGTGTTCTATTTAAATGTGATCTTATTATTTATGTCCCATTAACTGAGATAATATGCTACATATGTTACTATATTAATTCCGATAGATTGAATGTTGGTATGGCAACAAATCTGAAGGAGCTGTTGTTGAGATGCACCATGACCGTCAACGTTAAACAAGTCTTACAGAAAGCATTCATGAACGATATCAGTATTCACAGATGGAACTCAGTAGTACTCAGAGAAAGATACGAAAACTGATGACTTCTTGAATATGGGTTTTCGAAGTGATAGACTTTATCGACACCATTTCACTTTAGGTCGATATTGCAATAATAATTTACGCGAACCAGGATCACCACTTGATTGAATACCATAACTTAATGTTGGCAGCTGAAAGAAAAATCATCACTAGATATAGGTTGAGTTTTTGAACAAGGAGAGCCGCGTTTGAAACGAAAGAATGCTAACATTCCACACAGAAGCCTGATCCCAGCTTCTTCAAGCAAATATTCGAAGCATCGAAAATATATAAAAGGCTTTCAAAACGTCTACTTCACTTCTTTGTATAATCATTTTGCTTAAAATATACACATAGACAGACAGGTTAAATCAACGTAGAACATCGTACACAATTGCACTGCTTTAATTTGTCACAACTCACAGTAGTATACCAAGAACAAGTGGATAGAAAAAGACTGATATCAAAGTAGACAAAGCTGTGTGACAATAAACAGTCTGAGGAGAGACGTTAATGTGAATAGTCAAGCTTTAGAAGATGTCAAAGAATGAATACATCTGCACCACTGTGACCGATTTTCAACCATGTCACCAAGAGTTATCAATCACTGATTCCTATCTTGTCGCAGACCCCAACCAGTCAGGTAGTCGATATCTCCCCACACTGCTCAAGCCAATAATTAGAGACTTCACTGACTGGTGCTATCTACGTCTTGATCCGGCCATCTCGAACTCTTTTCCATCTTAATTCAACTTCTCTTATAGTAACATACTCCAAGCCAGCCAGATGATCTCCAGGGAGTAGGTCAATCCCTGTCAATTAAGACGTACCTAAGGATATGTCCATTAGTACGTCATAACGAAGTTAAATAAGAACGGTGACAGTGGGCATTTCTGCCGGACACCCCTAGTTGTCGTCAATTTACATGACAACTCTCCAGAAGCCTTTACATGGATGTGTCAGTTCAAGTAGAGAGATTTGATAAGCGTTACATACTTTCTCGGTACTCCCTTCACAGTCAGACACCACCACAACACCCCACGGTCGACTGAGTTGAATACCGCTTTCAGGTCAACAGACACGGCAGGTGTCGCCCACATGTCGTTTGGTATACCTATGTTCCAGAATCTGTCGGAAGATAAAAATATGATCCACGCACCCTCTTACGAATATGGAACCTACCTAATTGATGTTGTTGAGCTCCAGTTAGGATTCAGATAAATGTGGACCCCAATGTTGTCACAAGAAGATTTCTCTTTCTTTCAACAGAGTGGGATTATCAGTGAAGTACAACAATCTGACGGCACTACCTCTGGTTCCCATACACTACCTATTACCTCCATCACTTCACTTAGAAATTTCTTACTTTCATCCTTGAAAACTACAGGTGGCAAACTGTCAGATCTTGCAGCTTTGCATAGCTTCAGGTTCGATACAGCTTTCTCAACTTCAAGGAGAGTTGGAGGACCGACATCTACATCCCACTGAAGTTCTAGCTGGATATTGGGGCAACTGTGGTTTTGCTGACCACCAGTTGAACTGTGCTTCAAAGTGTTCTGACCGACACTCTATCCGCCCGTCATGGGAGATTATGGTTATGGTTTCAGTCACCATTGTCTTCTTCTTGCCGGCATCCTTAATAAGCCTCAGCAGTTGCAGAGTGTTACTCAAAGTTGATGTTCTTTCCATCTATCTCACTTTTATCACCCATCACTTTTCGCGATTGACACAAAAACTCTTGATCAATCTATTTTTAGGTTTCTTTCGCTTTTCTTTGTGGTTAGAGACACCTGGAGTCAGAATGTCTACATTTTCATGCTGCTTTCTTGGTTTTCATCATCATTATCATCTCTACTGCGTGTGCTTTAGTCAATGTTATCACTTTATCATTATTATTATTCGTATTATTATCACCATAGTTATTTTAAAACATTTTTCACATCAACCAACAAACCCACATGATTGGTATTATATATATATATATATATATATATATATATATATATATATATATATAAATTTGTATTAAAGCCTGAAGAGGATCTAATTGGAAACAATATTGTTCGCTTATATGTCCTGTTCTAACTTACATGGTGGGAATTTTCAAAACTCTTAAATATAACTTATTCAAGTTGGTATTCATCGTAGACTGACATCAGTTGGAGGAACAGTGGAAACCCGGGAGCACTGAACAGCTGTTTTGCCCTAGTAAATTATTCAGTTTGGAAGTTTTTTTGGCGGGATTTATTCATTGATTTTAGTAGGTATTCACACCAAACAGACATAACTAGGAGAACTACTGGTAGCCCGTAAGCGCTGTACAGCTATTTCGTCCTAGTATGGGACTCCACAGCGGTACGCATCCATGACAGCGCCCTGACAGGGATTGAACTCAGGACCTATAGCGTCCACAGTCAGAATGTTACCATTGAGCCACTGGGTGGGAACCCAACGGTCCGCACTTCTTACTTCGTAAGTTCGTGATGTAGCACGACCTCCATTTAATGCCGTCGTTGCGTAACTGTCCTCACGTGCGACTTGGTCAGTCCACCGGCCACGGTTCGGTCCGTAGAGTGGTCATGAGTGTGCAGTGCTAAGAAGTCTCATACTAGGGTGAAACAGCTGTCCAGTGCTCCCAGGTTTCCACTGGTTCTCCAACTGATGTCATTTCGTGATGAACACCAACCTGAAATACTACTTACATTCCAATGATATGTCTCATATAATATAATGAGTTCGGTGTAAGTTAGCAACAAATTGTAGTGTCGTGAATTGAGTAGAATTACACCTACTGTGCGAGGACTAGTACGATACCAACTTACAGCTCATACCGTAATGGATGGATCCTAGACTGCGACCAGTTGACTGAGAGGGTAACTACCTAGACAACTCAGCTGTAGAGCTCCACAAAAATAAGTCTAATCTGATGAATTTAAAACAGTTCATACCTTTTATCATCATCATTATCAACATAGGACCAGGCATTACTGCGTAACGGTCCGAGTTGCCACACCTCATATCAGCACATCAAGTAAAAAGGTAGTGAGGCGAAGGATGAAGATAAGTGAATGCAGTCAAAAGAAATATAAAGTACGAAAAGAAAAGAAAGAGGAGTGACAAAATAGTGAGATTCGGTATAGCGTTGTTAAGATGAAGATAATGTGTGTATACATGTGCACCACTGACTTCGGTTCTCAGCCATATCACCTAGGGTCTCCAACCACTGGTTTCTCTTGTCCCGTGGACCCCAACCACCTAGTCTGCATCGTCCTACATGGCTTAAACCAACAGTCAGAGACTTCATACATTGGTGCCATGTTTTAGTCTGGCCACCTCGGGCCTTTTACCAGCCTGGACCCACCTCAGCCAACATTGTGTGACGAGGCAATCGGTGACTAGGCATACTTAGTACGTGTCCCAACCATCTCAGTCGATGAAGGTTCACAACCTCGTCAAATGACTTACCTCTTCTCTCCAAAACTCTACACCTAACTTCTGCAGTACTCACATAGTGACACCACGGAATACGTCCTATATTACGAAGACAACGGTGGTCAAACACCTGAAGCCTTTTTGTATCCTCTACTTTCAGTGGCCATGTTTCACAGCCATACAGTAGAACAGACCGGATTGCTGTGCAGTACACGCGACCCTTAATAGACAAACGAATATCACGGCGGCGCCATAGGTGGCGCAAATTGGCAAAAGCCAATCGAGCCTTTTGTATCCGTGCCGAAATCACATCGGCAACTAACCCACCAGGGTTGATCCTACTTCCCAGGTAAGTGAAGTGGTCAACACACTCAACCACTTCACTTCACTTCATACCTTTTATAAATGTCAATAAGGCATTATAAGAAGAGAAATATTACAATTGCATTACTGGCAAGGTTTACAATAATTGAGTGTAACTTTCATATCATCCGTCAGTCAAGTGCATTGAGTAAACAAACCTAGCCAAATCATAACTTTAATCCAGAGAAATACCATGTCCACACAACAATAGAGCGGTAGTTTTAGAAACTTAGTTGGGTGGAGAGAACTAGAGAGAGACTAGAACTTTGTTTCTCGAATCAACCCTAAACAACACACGTAATAAAAATGGTTCATCAGTGCCTGTTTCAATACCCCTATCGCAAAGGAGGTTGTAGAGTTTTCTGGTTACAATGTAATAGGACAGAAAATTATGTTGACAACGTTATACTGTTTCAGTAAATGACACACCTAATAAAAGTGGAATTCAGTATGTGTGGACTACTTCACTTGGGGAGTTGCATTACCACGAACGGAAACGTTGCTGACGAAGTCTCAGCTCGGATACAAAAGGTCCGTTTGGCATTTGCCAACTTGCGTCACCGGTGATGCCGTACGGCGAAATACCAGACTTTCTATCAAAGAGCATGTATACTGTGTTGCAGATCATTCTGTCCTGTTATGCGGCTGTGGGACATGGCCGCTGAAAGTAGGAGGCATGAAGCCGTCACAAGTGTCTTCGTCTCACTGCTCGCATCTAATAGAATCACCACTATGTGAGCGATGTTGAGGTCAGACAGACAGGTCAGTCGACCAATGAGGTTGTGAACCTTAATCGACTGAGATGGCTTGGACATGTGTTGGATTACGGTGACCCACCACCTACCTCAAATGTGCCATGATATGGGAAGCTGAATTCGATTGGAATAGGGTTCAGGGTGGTCAGAACAAGACATAGGTAGCACCAGTCAGTGAAGTCTCTAATTATTGGCTTGAGCAGTGTGGGGAGATATCGACTACCTGACTGGTTGGGGTCTGCGACAAGATAGGAATCAGTGATTGATAACTCTTGGTGACATGGTTGAAAATCGGTCACAGTGGTGCAGATGTATTCATTCTTTGACATCTTCTAAAGCTTGACTATTCACATTAACGTCTCTCCTCAGACTGTTTATTCTATCACACAGCTTTGTCTACTTTGATATCAGTCTTTTTCTATCCACTTGTTCTTGGTATACTACTGTGAGTTGTGACAAATTAAAGCAGTGCAGTTGTGAGCAAGGTTCTACATTGATCTGGTCAGTCACTCACATCTAATAAATGCAATACTATGTGATTGGTGTTATCGTCTTAGCTTAAATAAATCAAGTTCAAGTCCATGACCCACAGGTTAAAAATTCGTACCACTGGATTACGAGCAAGAAGAACAAGAGAATGTTAAAATCAATTGAACGATAGACTAATCGCAAAGGTGAAAGTGAACCCAACATACAGCATTATAAACTCGAGTGTATGAACTTTCAATTGTTCAGCATTATGCATATCAGCCAATCCAAATATGTCGCACGCATTCTCCACTGAAAGGCTTTCGACAAGAGCTTCTTCACACATTGTTTTCAGCCGTTCCAATTGATACTGTTAAGTTAATAGTAGTGAAAAAGAAAAACACAAGAATAATACGAACAGATAGATGAGAGAACAAAAACAAAGTTAGTAGATATATCAATGACAACTGATAATTAAAAGCAATCAACAGCAATAACCACTTCGTGAAAGTCTTGTATTCGTCATGAGGAAACACATACTCCTTCTAAGATTATAGGATGAGTCTTTGAATGGGACAGCTCAGAGTCAGCAAACACAAACGTCTACCTAAAGTTATTTCCATGGATGCTGAGGCTGTCTAGCCAACTGCTTTTAAACTAGCTACACTGTCATTAACAAACAAATGAGAAAGAAAGTAATGAGTTAAGTTAACCACCATCAAATTTCCTTCAACACTCAAGAAGATGCCTACACATCAAAAGCTGAATGTAAAACTCTAGAACTCACAATCCAATAAGATTACTAGAATATCAACAACTGGAAGTAAAATTATTTACTACCTCAATGAGTACACAGACACAAAACGGGGCAATAAAACCATGTAACAAATTGTAAGTCATTGGTGCGGATATGAAATACTTTCACGACCTTCCAATCATTGACAGCAAGCCTAGAATAGGATTTAAAAGTGGTTTATACAGTCAGCATAGTTCTGTAGTAGTTGAGATATGTTTACTACTAGTAACCATTCATTTCAGTCTATGGTAATATTTCCTTAGGCCTTTATCCTCGTAATTTTGATACCAATTCTAGTGTCGATCAAATCAACATTAAGTGATCTCAATATCTTGGTTCTCATAGGAAACCATGGTAAGATTTTGCATCATGAACTATGCATTTGGTAAGCGTTTGATTTGATTTTTTGATAAAATGTGATTTTTTAGCCTCCTCCTTGTTTTGATAATTTTAAAATTTTACTTTCAAAAAGCACCCAAGGCAGATGGTGATGAAGCTGAGTGTCAATTACACTGTTAGGGTTAATTTCTTACAATCTCATTGTCAGAGGGAGAGAGAGAAGCTATCCAAATGACTTTTAGACTATCCACTGTTTGGTAAGCTCTGGAAAGTAATGGAAGTGGTCTTTTTAGTGTAACGTCGAATGAAGGACAGCTGCTGTGCACCACTTAGAATCTGGTAATGTATGATGACTTCATATGATTCAGTGGTTTGAAACGCTATCAGATCCAGCTCAAGATCGAGACCAATAAAAAGAACATTCTAGCTTTAATGTATCTTTTACTATTGATAAGTAATAGAAAAGTAATGAAAGATTCGTGAACGCGCCTTCTTTTCATTTTCTCTTTGTCAAGGTATTCGTTATCCGCCCCTCTCTCTCTCTCTCCTGTTACACGTGATATCTCCATATATTTGTTACAGTCTTTTGCTGACAGGAGCTTCGGTAACGAAACTGTGTTAAAAAAGTAAATACAGTCAGTTAAAACAACCCAGTGATTGAAGTGAAACTGAAACATTGTCAGCCGCTGAGTGTAGTAGTAGTTTAGCCATTGTAATACCAAGTCTGTAACCCAGAAACCGCTGGTTTGAATTCTATAAGACATCGAAATTTTTTTCAACTCCAATCATTTTTTCTCCCGTCAAATGAATAAACAACATACACAGAACAGAGAAGGAGGAAGAAAAAAACGCACAAACCTTGTCAGCTGCAGCCAACAATTCATGAGCTAATCGGTCCATACCAACAACCTGACCAGTATATATGTAGCGCAGTATCTCAGCAACAGTATCTGGTTCCATGTCTGTAATTTCAACTCTGTTAGCCTAGACTCCTCCATTCCATGTCCAAACATCGCAGCAAAAACTGGGCTTCTAGCAGCTAGAATCGCTTTATGTGCTTCAAACTGGCGAAGTACAACGCTTGAATTTGAAGTTCCACTAACCGTTGAACTGTTGCTAGTGGATCCTGTGCTAGAACATTTTACAGTTTGATTCGTCACATTTATTGGACACACAGTGGAACTTGATGGTGTTGCAGCAGCAGGGTTGGAATGAGATGAAGTGGTCGAAGCAGCCTTCGAAACAGTAGGTAGAAGTGATGAGTCTCGAGCATTCCGGTTACGAGGACGATTTGAGGTTGTGGCAGTCGATGTATTGTTTTTCTCCGAGTACTTCTCCGGACACGACTTGAAGTACCAGAAGTTTCCGCCTCGACAGATTCTTCAGTGTCTTCAGGCTTCTCTTTCGACGTAACTAAAGGAGCAGACATAGTGTTAACAAGGGAACTACTCTGACTAATTGTTGTGCTACTTGTGGTTGTGCTGCTGCTTCCCACATCAGCATTATGCACTGCGCTCTGTCTACCCTTGCTGCACGACGATGATGATGAGTCGGTAGTAGATGGTAAAGCGCAAGAAGTAGAAGGTACTGAACTGGACGTGCGAGACCGGTGAGAGCCTAGAAAATTAAAATAAGTGAATAATACAATGGTAGAATAAACTGATGCAATGTAAATAATACCAAGTTTTAATTTTGCAGCAGTAAGATGATTCGGTTTGTACAATTTATAACCAAACGTCATCAGTATATGTCTATCTAAGTTATAATTATTATTTGTCCCTTGCGTTCCTATTGGAACATAGGGATTCAGTAGCAAGTATCCATTCCACTCTCTTCTCTACAGTCTTTTCGACCTGACTCCACAACTGCCCATTATCTTTCATTCCTTCCTCACACCATCTCTTCCATGTCACCCTCACACGCAAAACTCGTCGTTTTCCCTTTGGGTTTCACTCGACGGCCTAGTCTGGCGCGATATGTCCCAGAATAATCATCTCAGTGTATGTCCAATTCAACCTATCTCCACTTTCTGCTGCATATTTGTTGGACGACAGGTTATTGGATAGTTCGTTGCTAGTCAGAGTTCCTCCATGGTTATTCTTTCTGCCCATCTGACCTGATCTTCAGTATCACGCGAGCGTCGGCGGTAGCTGTTGATGATATATGTCTGTAGTTTGTTGGAAATGTTTCCCGTAACGCGCCAAGTTTCTGAACTATGGAGGCACTGACTTGACTGACATTGGTGTTGAAAATTCGGATTTTGTTCACGCTTTATGCTGAGTGGAGTGAAGTTAGATCTCCACACTGATTTCGGATTAATGAAGTAAGGCCTGTCTTGCTGTCTTTCCGATCCTGGCTGCTTTGACGTCTTCATCTGTGCCACCATCATCGCCGCCTGTAGCTGAAACGATGCTGTCTAGGTAGGTATGTGAAAGAGACTACTTCCTCTAAGTTTCTCCCGTTGATGGTGCTTGCTGTTGTTGCTGTTGATGTTGGCTGGGTATCTTCATCACCACTGTCTTCTCTACATTCACTTGAAGTCCAGTCTTCGCTATGTCGCCTCTTCTGTCAACTTGTTGGTTTTTACCTGTAGATCCTCGAGTTTGTGCGACATTAGACATAAATCATCATCGTTGGCGAAATCCAAATCTTCTGGGGTCTCTTCATCGGTCCAGCATATACCCATCTTCTCGCTCCTCACTGTTTCTTGCATGATCCAGTCAACCACAATCAGGAGGATAATCGGTGACAGTAGACAGCAGTCTTGTCTTCCTCATGTCTTTACTTTAAAGGCGTCACTCAGCTTTCCATTGTGAATCACTCGGCATGTGGCGTCTTCATATAGTTGTTGAATGAGGTCGATAAAGGTTTAGGGTACTCCGTAGTGTTTAAGCACTTTCAAAATTACTTCCCGGTCAACGCTGTCGAAAGTCTTTTCAAAATCGATAAGGTTGAGGCAGAGAGTTTACTGCCATTCTGTGCTTTGTTCTATGATGATGCGTAGACTAGCGTTGCAATTTGACTCACACATGATTTTTTTTTTCCTGAAGCCAACCAGCCTGTTCTGGTGTTAATTTTGAATCCAGAGCATTTCTCAGTCTCTCCAGGATGATGCGGCTTAATATTTTGCTTGGAATGGACAGGAGCATGATTGCGAGCCAGTTCTTGACTAAGCTTAGGTCGCCGCTTTCAGGGGAGTTTGACAAGGTAGCCCTTCTTTCAATCAATGGTCAGGTACCTATCCTTCTTTGCAAACCTTCTGCAATAGTGATGTCAGCGTGTCTGCTGTTGTCCTGAGGTCTGTTTTCAGCACATCTGGAGGAATTCCATCTGGGCCTGTTGCTTTCTCGGACTTCAGCAACTTTATGGCGTTCACGACTTTACTTCTGCTTTTGTCGAAAAGCTTGTGTTCACTGGTAATTCCGCGGCTGCTGGTGGTATTTCTGGACGACTTGCAGGTGGTGGCGGTGGTAGTGGTAGTCGATTCAAGAGCTTTCTGAAGTGGTCAGCCCATCGTTTCCTTTGTTTCCCTCACTATCTTTCATTGGTTTCATCTGAGTTGACCTCTTCCCTCCCAGGTAGTAACCTGGTTATTTCATATAGTGTTATCACGTCTCTGCTTCCCTTACCTGCAGCCTGTTCTGCTTCACTTGCCAATGTGTCGTAGAAGTGTCTTTTGTCTTCCCGCGCACTCTTCTTCACTTCCTTGTCCAGTGTTTTATAGGCTGTGTTCAGTTCCACTTTTCGTTGTTTATCCCTACACTGCACTGGTTCATCATCTGCTTCACTATCATCCTCTCTCTCCTCTATCAGCTTCCATGTGTCCATCGAGATCCATTCCTTGTCTTATTTATTCTCCCTTCCTAATACGGTTATGCAAGTTTCTTTCCACATCTCTTTCAAAGAGTTCCAGTGTTCTTCCACAGTTTCCTCAGTCATGTTGCTTAACCACGAGAATGCAACTTCTATCTTGCATATTGAACATGAAAGTCGAAGACTAGGAAAGTGGTCCTTTAGATAATAACCGCCTTCGATGTGAGCACTTTAGTAGTACTTCAGCCCTTACACAAACCGCAGTGTAGCATTCTGCAATGGTGAGGCGTTTCACTAATATGAATGTAAAACTTGGGCACTGTGGTAGGATTTAATTCCATATTAGATTTGTTTATTTGATTTATAACACACAGTGATCTAGTATTATTTACTTGATGACGTTTCGAGCATAAATTATTGCTCATAATCATATCAATGTAATCGCACTCCACTTCCATCTGATTTTTATAGTCATGTCACCTCATATGATTTGTTTTTATTGGTAGTAAAATTTTCCATATCTCTGGTATAGGTGTTGCATCATTTCTACATATGTTGAGTGTTGGTTCAAAGAACAGATTCAGTAATCAATCTCTCTCTCCACCTAATTATATTGGACTTCAGTACAGCGGCTTTATCGCATCCCATTGTGTGGCTGTGTCAGTCATGAGGTGTTTCCTTTAAAACACAATAAACAAGTGCAAAATATATATAGGAATATTTGCTTACCATTTTTAGAACACCAATTACTATCAGAAGTTCTTTGACTAGCATCGCAAGTGACATTTGATTTTACTTCCCGGTCATCACGATTTATACTCCCTTGGGCAGTAACACAACTGGAAGATGAAGTTAATCGCCAATCACTATTTGAAGCACTGTTATTTGAATTATCTCCTGAGTACTGTTGCTTCATGGAGAGTGCGTCCACAGCACCTCCAGTACATGGAACTAACAATGGACTAGGAGTAGCAGAAGTTAAAGGAATTATTATACCTTTTGTAGGAACATTGGTTGTTGTAGCTGGAGTTAACGTTGAAGAGGACATTACATGTGTAGGATTGTGAGCAAGGTTGGGTGATGAAGTACTGGAAGCATGATTATCCCCAATGATTGAAGTTCGATGAGTTGCTGTAGCAGCGGCTTCCGCTTCACCTTGTTCAGCGTTGCTGTTGCTACCATTAGAAGCCAAATGACTTCCATCTTCGACAAGAAAAGTTAGGTGCGACTCCCTGTAGCTGGATTGTGTATCCTCTTCACGTTCACTCTCATTTTCTTGTTGTTCTCCATCACCATCATCATCGTCTTCATCTTCCTCATCGTCGAATTCTTCGCCTTCATCCAATTCATCCTGATCGTCTTCATCTTCATCATCTTCTTCACCAGTTGACTCATAAGTTGAGAATTTAGTCGCCTGTTCACTAACAGAATTTAAACCGGGTAGTGTGTGACCTAAGACACAAGGATTTTGATGTACATGAGATAGGGAGCAATCACTTGAGCATTTTCCGTTAGACGGATTACTAGAGATAACAACCAAAGTGACATCAGTCAAGAGCTGTTTAAATAACAAACTTCCAATATCCTCATGTAAATTACATTCTGGGACAGTAATAGGTTGATTATTGACTTGACCGCTTTCTGACAGAGTCTCACCCACAACTGAAACCTAATATATTGAAAAGACAGAACTATCAATATATATATACTAGAAGAGATTATGATGAAGGCTACTCAGTATTCACATGAAAAACCAGAGCCAACACACAGATATGACCATGTAAAATGTGAAAGTAACACTCAAACTCAATGCTATTCTCTATATGCTATTTGGGTGTAAGCAAGACGTAACTTCCCAATAGCTACCAGTCACACTCGAAAGGTTAGTCTACACAAATAGATAGATATATATAGGGCAAACGATGACTCTGAGATACTGGAAGAGTTTCTGAAGTTGGCAGCAAACTATGCTGTGCCAATATAACAAACAAGTAAGGTCATCACAGAAATTTCTAGTCGTATAATACAGATTCCCTAGAAAAAGGGAAATGGATATTTTGATCATACCAACAACCTCGACAATTATACTTTCTGCTGTCAAAATGAGCTTCAATGGAAACTAAAGCTAATGCATTTGAAGCAGAACGCCTCTATAAACATTTTTAGTTCTTTTTTAAGGGTACAGAAGATCTTTCACTTCGTCAGCGTCTATGTTAACAACGAATATACAGTACAGGGGTAAAAGGAATGTCTTTGAATTAGTAGATAGAGAAAAATATTACTTGTAATAACGAATTTGTAAGAATTTTGAGTTGAATGCAGACTGGTTACGTTCAGTATGTAGGACAGTAAAGAATCATATGCCCTGATGTCTAGATGTTCCGGATAGTAACACGCATCACAAAAAGAAACTAGCACAAGATTCATTAGCCAGTGGTTTCAAACTGTACATTCAAGTTAATAAATATGGCCAAGAAGTATAAGCACATGTCAGTGTTTCAGATGACAATATCAAGACCCAACGAGACATGAAATCTAACTGGTTTCTAAGATTTTTAGTTTCAGTTTTTCACATAAAAGATCCCAAGCCGTGGGACCTGACTGTTTGTCATCGAACTTTTAAAGCGATGTAAGTAAGAAATTATTAAGTAGAGTAACAGAGGTACTAAGTGGTGAATGGAAATCAAAGGTAGTCCTGTCAGGTGGTCATATACAAGAAAGGAAAAAAATCTCTTGATAATCATAGGAGGACTAGATTAACTAGCGGTGTCCAAGATCCTGGAGTGGTCTGTAGTTGTCCGAACTAGGGCTCAAAAACAACAAACCTGAGAAAATCAGGCAAGTTTCAGACCCAGATGAGGATGTATCGATCACATTTTCACCATCCCACAGGTTCTGCGACACTAACATACCGGTGGCCGACACTCGCTATACATATCGAACTAAAGGCGATATTTGACTCTGTCGACCATGAGGTGTTGTGGCAGTGTCTGCCTGTGAAATGACACAGCAAGTAAATAACCCAAATCAAAACTCTCTACTCCAATTCACTCAGACGTGTAAAGGCTTATGCACAACTGTCATGCGAATTGACGAAAACTAGTGGTGTCCACCAGAAATGCTTTCTGCAACTGTTCATGTTCAACTTCCTTATAGATGTATAAATACACATAAACTTAAGCACTTCTAACCAATCCTTGGAGCACACAGACGACACTGTCCTGCTAGGCAAAGACGCTGACAAAATGCAGGGTCTTCAGAACACTTTGAGTAGAAATCTGAGTGTGTTTGGCATATTTTGCATCCGTCAAGTGTAATATGATGCTCCAGGAATGGTCGGCAACTTCTCGCAGTTCAATGATAAAGAGTGGGACGGTGGAATGCATCAATCATTTGGGGAGTTGCACCAGCTGAACAGGCTACAGAGCTCAGATACTGAAGGTTCGTTCAGCATTTGTCAACTTGCGAGATATCCAACTGCCTATTTAAGGAGGATTATACTGCACTGCAGTCACCTCTGTCCTCTTATGCGACGGTGAGAAATGGTTTTGGAAGTAGAAGATATGAAGAGACTACAAGTTTTCGACCATAGGTGTCTCATTAGAATTTCTTACGTATGGTGGGATCATCATGTGAGCAATGTCGAGGTTAGGTGAAACGTACGAGCCAAGAAAGGCAAGTCAGTTGATGAGGTTATGAATCTTCAACATATGAGTTGGTTTCGACATGTGTTGTGCATGCTAGGGGAATCAAGATTAGTTTAGAAGACGGTTCAGGGTGGCCAGATTTAGAATTGGTAGCAACTAACAAAGTCTCTGACTTTTGGTCTCGGTCGTGTGAAGAGGTGTAGACTGTCTGATTGGGGTTCTTGAGATGATAAAAATCAATAGTTAGAAACCCTTAATGATATGGTTGAAAATTTGTCCGTGGCGGAAACGTATTCATTCTTTGGCGTCTTCTAAAGCCTGAACATTTTCAGTCACTTCAATATTTAAATTTCTTCTCCTAATACGTCTTTGCATACCACTGTGAATCGTGGCAACTTGAACCGATGCACTTGTGTGCGAGATTCTACGTTGAATATGTTTGTCTATCGTATTTAAATGGCTATCTACTGCAGGAATTTGGGAAGTACTTTGAATAGGCTGTATCTTGTTCGATCAGAAGATGACCTCTGTTTTTCTGATAAACTAGAACAATAAGGTGTGGCATTCGGATGGCTACATTTTGATGATGCCACCAGTTTGGTAGACTAGTATTAACCTAAAGGAAAGATGAACCAAGTTGGAAGTCTGGTACAAAGCTTGCTAATTGGCACACTTTCTTCAACTTACGTCACCATCTAAGTATGTCAAGGCCAATCTGACAACTTAAGACTTTTATGACAGTGAAATCAACGATCAACTAATTGCTCAGTTTCGGAGTAGAATAAGAAGATCAAGTTAAGTAGTGGGACGATTGACGGATAGTAAAATATCAGTTACTCATATGACTATCAGGCAAAACTTTCGGTGCTTAAAGTTGACAACATCTGGCTAACAGTTGGTTCCAGTCAGTTACGCACCAAGTCAGCAACCTAGAGGCTGTTGGTTGGAAGAATCCAGTAGTGATCTATATTTTCTTCCAACTTCTCTTTTCATCCTTCTTAGATAAGATGTTGTGATTTTGTCAAATGACAGTTCATATCCTTATGCAGAGGTGATTATAAACCTACTTTGATTCATTAATTGTGTTACTTGCCATTTAAAACAAAAATCAGGTAACCAGATTACACTGCACAACTTCCTTTAGAACAGATTACCTTTACATTTTCAGGATTTGTAACATATCATTTGATATGACTTAATAATTAAAATGAAAGAGTGTAGGGATCAAGTGTGAGAGGTGCATGACAATTTTCATACTGATCCATTGGGCAAGAAAGTATCACCTTATTATTGTCTTGAAACATTTTCAGTAGCCTTTATTTATTCATTGTCTTTTATCCCACACACTTTTATTAACTTCGATACCAGTCAATCATTTATTCAATATCAACGAAAATCAAAAAAAATCGGACTGCAACCAGCAACCTTGTGCACATTCATGAGGTAGGCAATGAGCCACACCTTTTATGTGAAGGTTAATGACACTACCTGACTGCCCAAACCTCGGTAGGTGCAGCGGAGCTCGAACCTGTGACCCAGTGATTGAAAGTCATCTCCCTAAAGCAATGAATCGCAGCTCCTCAATATCAACATTAAACCCGGTATTACAGTTGAAGTTGTCACACGTCAAGATACAAGGTAGCAAGACAAAGAAAGTGGAATGGAAATGGCGTTACCAAATGATGCACCAAGTCATAGGACGAGAAAACAGGAGATGGAGCAAATAATGGAATGCGACATGACGACTGGGATGAGGCATATATGTATACACTCCACTGCGATGGATTCTGAGGCATAATAACTGCAGTAGCCAAGTATCCACTTCGGTTATCGTGGAGACAATCCGAAAGCCCAAACCTCCATACATGGCTCACTTCAACCGTCAAACTTCACAGACCCATGCTACATTGTAATCTAGCCACCTTTTAACATTTTCTCTAATCGAAACCTACTTTAGCTAATACTGCATCCTTGGATAGACGGTGACTAGGCATAAGTAACACCTGGGTCGATGAAGATTTACGACCTCATCAATTAGCATACTTCTTTCACCTAGGGTTTTACACCTGACCGCTCGTTTGTTTACGATTCACTTCCTCTTTGTGTACTGCTGTAAATTGTGACCAACTTGAACTGATGCGTTTTTTTGTACAGTTCTACGTTGACTTTTCTATGTACCGTCTTGAGTCTCAGATTTTTGAGAAACAGCAACTGGTCAGTCACCAACCATGTGAAACTTGGTCAAGGATATTTTTCATGCAAGGTTTATCAAAATTATAACACTAACGGGATCTAACGTCGACGCATACACTTCAACTGACATCACTCACTCACAGATGGCTTTTTCGATCATCATTATCATTAGGAGCAACGTAGGACCAGGCATTAGTGTGTAACGGTCTAAGTTGTCACACCTGATATCAGCCCATCAAGTAACAAGGCAATAAAATAAAGATGAAGGGAAGAAAAATCCGTAAAAGGAAGTGGGAGTAGAAAGTAGTAAAGTACAGGAATAATGAATGAGATCGTGATTAAGTATAGCGATTAAGATGACGACAATGTGTGTATGCATCTGCATCACTGATATCGGTTCTCAGCCACATTACATAGAGTTTTCAACCACTGGTTTCTCTTGTCCTACGGACTCCAGTAGGCTAGTCTGCATCGCCCTACATGGCTCAAACCAACAGTCAAAGACTTCACGCGTGCATATTTCAGTCTGGCCGTCCCGAGACATTTTACAGCTTGAAACTACTTCGGTCAACATTGTGTGACGAGGTAGACAGTGGCTAGGCATACGTAACACGGCCCGGCCATCTCAGTCTATGAAGGTTCACAACAGCATCAACTGTCTAACCTCTCCTACCTAAAACTCTATCTGACTTCGTTACCAATTCTAGGTGAATGGCAGAATTCATGCTTACTGTGTCAAGTGATTGCTACTATAACTATGATTATCATATAGTTGCAGCCAATAAGTCTAGGAACTTGGTTTTTTAACAGTGGGTCATGGGCTCGAACCCCGCTCCACCTATCGAGATCTGGGCAACCAAGTAGTAGTGGTAGTAGTAGTAGTAGCCCCCACACAATAGGTATGGCTCATTTCCCATTGTACAGACATGGTTGTTGATTGTATTTCATTTATTTTATTCGACAGTCAAGCATAGATAAAATGGTTCCATAAACGTCTGACTTAATTCACTTGTTATCAGCTGAATAAAAGGTGTTCATAAACTGTTTAATGATGATTTTCAGTATTATACTTGATCACTTGTTGATTATTAGCCAAACACAATAAGTGGTGTTATATGTCGTTCATTTCAATTACTTAGGGAGTTGCATCAACCTGAATGGAGTGGCTGATGAAGTCTCAGCTCGGATACAAAAAGTCCGTCTAGCATTTGCCAAAATGCATCATGTGGCGCCGACTGGTGAGATTTTCCACTACCTATCAAAGGACAAGTATACTGCGTTGCAGCTCATTTTGTCTTGTTACATGGTTGTGAGGCATGGCCGTTAAGCGAAAAAGACATGAAGCAGTTACTAGGTTTTGATCATAGGTGTCTGTTGCATTGCTCTTAGTACTTTATATTACCTTTGACTGAATTTTCTTTTCTTCATCTTTCACTTCACTGCCCTTTTACTCGATATACTGGTATGAGTTGTGGCAACTCGGACCATTAGGCAGTAATGCCTGGTCCTATTTTGATTCGAATGGCTAGCGATTGTTGGAATCACTACTGCGTTAGTAATGTTGAGGTCGGGTGAAGGGTACTGGGCAAGACGGGAAGGTCGACTGATGAAGTTTCGAACCTTTATCAGCTGAGATGGCTTGGACATGTACTGAGCACGGCGAGCCACCGCCTACCACAACATGCCATGCTGGGGGAAGTTGGGTTAAGTTGGAAGAGGGTTCAGGATGGCCGGACCAAAACCTGGCACCAGTTGATGAAGTCCCTGTTGGTTTGAGCCGTGTGGCGAGATGCAGACTGCCTGGTTGGGGTCGGCGACACGGTTAGAATCAGTGGTTGATATCTCATGGTGATATGGTTGAAAATTGATCACGATGGCGCAGATGTATTCACTCTATGTGTGAGAGATTCTGTCAGCACCCAAGTGAGAGATTCTACTTGGTTCTGTTTGTCTATATGACAGTAAGTATATCTTCCGTGTAGATAAGTCACTGGCCACTTTATTTTCAAATAGAAATCTTTTTCATCGTTATTCAGTTAAGATTTTTAGAAAAGTTATAATCCCAGTGCATCCACTGAATCATTTCAGTCCTATGAGCGTTTCTCATCCAGCACTGTCGTTTAGTAAACAGCTAACATCATGACCAATAACAATAAGAGCAGAATAAGAATCTTACAGGATCAATAGAGTTTCTGTTTACAGAGAGTTTCTCATACCTCACATAAGATTGTTAATCGATCATTCGGCAGTAATCCATTGGCTTCATCCATTAAGACATCTCGACGAATAAACTTTTTAAAGCCCCAATCTTTGCCTTGCACAAATCTGTAGGCCCGTTGACTTTCTAGACACATGTGAATGCAGAATATATTAGGAGGAACTATTTTTAAAACACCTACCCATTGCCTTTGTCTCTTCTCGTTTGGCATTCAATATGGAAAATTTAAATTTAGCTCTGGCTTCACTTTTAGTTCCACAATTGACCAATAAGAGATAAAGTGATAAATATTCTCGGCTTTCTTCATCTAAGCCTTTTGGATTTATCCTCAAACACCTTAAGTGAACAGAAACAAAGATATATGTTAAGTGTTGACTGACCATTTCAGTTTGTCATTGGGACCACAAGAGAAGAATGAACTTTTCACTACCTCTCCCATTTCTTCACGGCAAAAACTGAAGTTGCTTATCGTCCAAACGTACTTCATCTTTGTTACACGAACCTTGAAGGAAGAATATGGTAGGTTATTGAAAAGACCATTTACTTGTGTATGACACCAATATTCAGCAACAACGGGGGGAGGACTAAGCAGATCCAATGGAGGTGGTGAGCTGGTTCGACTAACAGTAGCCACTTGACCATCAGTACTATCCAGTGTAGCTCTTAAAGCGTCCATGGAACTAACTGTAAAGGAAATTTTAGCGAAAAAAGATCAACAATTTCAGTTTATTACTGGCAAAAGATATAATTATAAGAGAGCGTCCCAAACCTTAATGAAAACCGATACACAACTAGGTATTATGTGCATTTGTTATGAGAGTAACAATCAGAAATTGAGTAGAATAATGAATTTGCACATCAACCTTAGATAAGACTAGAGACTGTCTACGGGTAAAGAACTATGTCTCACATACCAGATGATGTATCTATAATGTGGCTTGACGGTGGCGCATAAACCGATGAGAATGGTGAGTTAATGAGCTGACATATGTTTGATATTTAACACATGTGGTTGATAATCTCCACAATCTCGTTTTCTAGTCTTGTTGGCTACAAAATCAGTCAGCTGCAGTTCAAAAAAGGAACAGGATAGAAACAATAACCAGACACTAAAGAGGGCAAGATAAAAATCAGCAAGAAGAGTATAGGACTTCAAATCATCTAAATAATGGAACTTAAACTTATGTTTATGAAACAGGCTATGGTCCACACATTTTATGACGAACTATAATACTGTCGAGTTGACCAAGCTGGAGATAGAGTGGAATGTGAATCTGGGACCAAACCAAGCGCTTAAGCCAATGCGTAACAAGTACGTTAGAATTGTGTAATCTGATACGTCAATAATGTACCTACAACTAACTACCGATAACGTGACGAAACGAATGAACTCATGCATGAACTGATTTCAACCTCAAGATAGCCTTTCTCCGTCAGCAAGAAGCTTTTGGGGTTAAATGGAACAAATGTAGTAGCAGGTTGCGTACCGCTTGGTTTGCTACCATTAAGAGACTCAAAATATGCATAAAGCAACGTCGACACAGTATCAGTCACTACCAGAATGGAACTTGGCGTTACTGCATAACGACATAATTCGCTAAAACACAGCGGGATGCAGTGTGCTGATTCCACTACGAAAACAGTCCTAGTATCACTGCTATCAAATGAAATAAGTGTTGCATTCATGACTGACCAATTATCTGCTGAAAGACGACAACACAGCCTCTTCAATTAATTTTATATTGTTTATTTGATACGGAACAAAATGATACAGTATTATTTATTGGGTTACGTTTAAAACAATTTACTAATGACCAACCGCTGCTGCCCGGATGTGTAATGGTGGGCCGACGCATAGCGCGATGACCCAACGAGCTACGCTAGTTGGGATGCCTTTTCCTAGAAAGGTCTCTTGGATACTGCTGAGACAAAAAGTAGCTACCCTAATAGTGCAAATAGCTACGCTATGGTGAGTGGCGAGGAGTTCGACGACGAAGTCGTAAAGCTAAAAATTGTGATGCCTGACAACAGTAAGCAGTTTTCTACAAGCGAGTAGAATCACTATGTTGATACAACCTTTCCTTTTGAAGAGGAAATGGAAAAGGTCAGCTTCAGGAACAACACTCTTCGCCGTACTGTGGTATTTCAGTGCTGGTGGTATACGCTTCCCTCATCCAGCGTCAGGAGAAATAAATCTTAATCCAGCAATCCGAAAATGGTAGTTTCCAAGCTGATACCCGATTAGCTCCGTTTATACATAACATCCAACTTTCCCATTTCAGATACCTTGTTGAAACAACTTTCAGAGTGCCGGTAATCTAGAAATGAGAATACTCTACAAACCTAAAGCAAAGTACCGAACCAAACTAACCACAACCTAAATTCCTTACTTTAATTCCCTCCCCTCACTTCAAATCTTGATATCAAAAATAAGCATACGGTAACTTGCTCAACCCCACATCCTGCGACCATTGGTAACCACTCAGGCCAACAAAACATTGTCTCTTATAACGCAGCTGCCGATTTCACAGTAAAGAATTAAACGTCCTCATGTAACCTTACATCATATGCAGTCTGCTATAGGAACAGCAGTAAGGATAGTTGATGACTTACACCCAAAGGTTACCAAACGTCACTCAATTTCTGCAATGTCATCCGGACTGTTTGCTACGAGAAGACTCAATTCAGCTGGCTCTGATCACAATGAACAGCGAAAACAACTTAAACATAAACTGACCAATAGTCTTCTCCATGACCAGTCATGGGTGGTAAAAGCAAAAGAGATAGAATAGGTATCGGCATTAGTTAATAGCCGGCAACTATTTAGGCTTCTTCAGGACATCCGCATGCAGACAATGGTTAGTGACACCATCGTTGAAAAGAATAGGATGCTGATAATTTCCGGGGACAAGAAGCTAGAAGGTTGGCAAAACACTGAAGCGCAGTTCAACTGGTCCACAAGAACCCGTCAGCTGACCAGTTTGCAGCTCGGACTCGAATTGGGTGTAGATGTTAGTCCTCAAAGTTGGCCAAGGTGTTTTAAACTTGAACCGAAGTAAAGCAGTAGGCTCTGAAGGCTTGCAAACAAAAGTCCCTAAGGATGGACGCAGAAAATCACTGAGTAGAGTAACAGAGGTACTAACTAGTGTATGGGAATCAAAGGTTGTTCTGTCAGACTTATCTACTCCACTCATCACTCCAGTCTACAATAAGGGGCAGTTTTCTCGTGACATCTACAGGAAGACTAGATTAACTAGCGGTGTCCAAGATCCTGGAGTGGTCTGTAGTTGTCCGAACTAGGGCTCAAAAACAACAAACCTGAGAAAATCAGGCAAGTTTCAGACCCAGATGAGGATGTATCGATCACATTTTCACCATCCCACAGGTTCTGCGACACTAACATACCGGTGGCCGACACTCGCTATACATATCGAACTAAAGGCGATATTTGACTCTGTCGACCATGAGGTGTTGTGGCAGTGTCTGCCTGTGAAATGACACAGCAAGTAAATAACCCAAATCAAAACTCTCTACTCCAATTCACTCAGACGTGTAAAGGCTTATGCACAACTGTCATGCGAATTGACGAAAACTAGTGGTGTCCACCAGAAATGCTTTCTGCAACTGTTCATGTTCAACTTCCTTATAGATGTATAAATACACATAAACTTAAGCACTTCTAACCAATCCTTGGAGCACACAGACGACACTGTCCTGCTAGGCAAAGACGCTGACAAAATGCAGGGTCTTCAGAACACTTTGAGTAGAAATCTGAGTGTGTTTGGCATATTTTGCATCCGTCAAGTGTAATATGATGCTCCAGGAATGGTCGGCAACTTCTCGCAGTTCAATGATAAAGAGTGGGACGGTGGAATGCATCAATCATTTGGGGAGTTGCACCAGCTGAACAGGCTACAGAGCTCAGATACTGAAGGTTCGTTCAGCATTTGTCAACTTGCGAGATATCCAACTGCCTATTTAAGGAGGATTATACTGCACTGCAGTCACCTCTGTCCTCTTATGCGACGGTGAGAAATGGTTTTGGAAGTAGAAGATATGAAGAGACTACAAGTTTTCGACCATAGGTGTCTCATTAGAATTTCTTACGTATGGTGGGATCATCATGTGAGCAATGTCGAGGTTAGGTGAAAGGTTCTAGTCGAAGAAGCCAAGCCACGGCCTACTTAGACGTGCAATATTTGCCAAAGTAGGATTACTTGGGACGAAGGCTCAGGGCGGCCGGATTTAGAATTGGTAGCAATTAACAAAGTCTAGGTCGTGTGAAGAGGTGTAGACTGTCTGATTGGGGTTCTTGAGATGATAAAAGTCAATGGTTAGAAACCCTTGGTGACATGGTTGAAAATTTGTCCCAGTGGCGGAGACGTATTCATTCCTTGGTGTCTTTTGAAACTTGACTTTTCTGTTTAAACTCCTCCTCTTATACTCCTTCGTCTGCTACGTCACCAGTCTTTTTGTATCCGAATGTTCATGCTACTGTGAAGTATCGCAAGTTGAACCAACGTACTACTGTGCGAGATCCTACGTTGATCTTGTTTAGGTCTGCGCAGTGTAGTCTCTCGTTAGGGTTGTCGAGAGATAAGAACCGATGATTAGAGGACTCTTAGTGATATGCCTTAAAAATAATCACAATGGAACACACTATTTACATTAACATCCGCGTAATTTTGTTGTTTCTGCTCAAATGCATTTTGTTGACTTTAACGTCATTCTTTTACTATCTACATATTGTTTGGTAGTGAATTGCGGAGACTTGAAATGACAAAATAATGTGTAAGGTTCTACGTTAATTCACTCAGTTGTCCAATTAAATGACTTCAAGTACTAAATACACAAACATGTAAAGACAGAAAATTCACCACATAATGCGTTTTAGTCGTCAGACAAATAAGTTTTTTTACAAGAACAATGAGATAAAGACTCTTGGTGGCAAGCCTTCAAAGCCTACTGCTTTGCTTCGGTTCAAGTTTAAAACACCTTGGCCAACTTTGAGGACTAACATCTACACCCAATTCGAGTCCGAGCTGCAAACTGGTCAGCTGACGGGTTCTTGTGGACCAGTTGAACTGCGCTTCAGTGTTTTGCCAACCTTCTAGCTTCTTGTCCCCGGAAATTATCAGCATCCTATTCTTTTCAACGATGGTGTCACTAACCATTGTCTGCATGCGGATGTCCTGAAGAAGCCTAAATAGTTGCCGGCTATTAACTAATGCCGATACCTATTCTATCTCTTTTGCTTTTACCACCCATGACTGGTCATGGAGAAGACTATTGGTCAGTTTATGTTTAAGTTGTTTTCGCTGTTCATTGTGATCAGAGCCAGCTGAATTGAGTCTTCTCGTAGCAAACAGTCCGGATGACATTGCAGAAATTGAGTGACGTTTGGTAACCTTTGGGTGTAAGTCATCAACTATCCTTACTGCTGTTCCTATAGCAGACTGCATATGATGTAAGGTTACATGAGGACGTTTAATTCTTTACTGTGAAATCGGCAGCTGCGTTATAAGAGACAATGTTTTGTTGGCCTGAGTGGTTACCAATGGTCGCAGGATGTGGGGTTGAGCAAGTTACCGTATGCTTATTTTTGATATCAAGATTTGAAGTGAGGGGAGGGAATTAAAGTAAGGAATTTAGGTTGTGGTTAGTCTGACTATATCTGAACGTTTTGCCTTCTGGAGCGGAGTTGAAAGTTTCACAGAATTCTTTGTTTGCATCTTGCGAGCCACAGTCGGTGGGTGCGTAGGCAGAAATTACTAGCATGCATCCACTAGTCTCACGAACCTTCCTAGTTCTTACTGACCAATTCAGTCGAACAGCACATACATGACTATTGGTTGGTACATAGTCGAGAAGTGAACTTTATGCTCTACAATTCCATACTATGCTTACACCAGCGAGTCGACAACAGCTAGCGATTGTCTCCGGATGCTCGTAGGGAGAATTTTAAAGATTTACCACATTGGGAAAGTGAGTTCAAGTTAACAACCATACTCGGGTCCTTTTTACATGTCTCAGAGATACATTATACATCTACAACTTGAGATTACAGAGTTGTGGCATGAGATAACCGTTGTTCGGTAGACATCGACTAGAAAATACCAATATAGGGTCCGAGATTGCTACTTTACGGTTGAAGTGGCCAGGCTTTATGCCAGCGGATCAATATGAGATAAGTTAGAAAACAGAAAGTAGGGGTAAGCGAAGTCAAAATTGGTAGGAAGTCATACCAGTCGGTAAAAGAAATCACAACATGTGATCACTGACGCCATAAATGTCGTTTTTACTTTCCTATTTTCCGTTCGGGTAGCTTTGCAATACCATTCAGTACGTGCAATTTGCCTTTTAAGCCAAATGTTTTCAAAAGGTTGGCTGCTGGTTAGTCCGAAGTCAAGTTTCGGAGTATTAACATAGCTGTTATACCATTCAGAACTTCTGTACCACTTAGCAAGACATGAATTGCAAAAGGTTAATATATCTTTCCAGCAGCTCAGTAGCTCTTCCAAACAAAGTCTACAGTTTGGGAAAACAAACAAGTAGATAGACAATCCCTACTTGTAAAGCTATAAATAGGTAAACTGGAAAGACTTTTGCGGCCCCCAAGGGACTATAACTAAACCTTGCCTCAAGAACCAGACGCAAGAGTTCACATACTACAAGTTTCACTACCTGTTAATGCTGGATGTGAATCCACATGTGCCTGACTTGATAGTCTCTGAAGTACAAATCTGGAAAGATCATATAGGTAATTATTTCCACTACTAAAATGTCAGCGTTCCCACTCTATTTACCTTTAAAAACTTCCCGAATTTCTTAAGGGTGTGTTTGGAAATATCGTAGTAAAGTTCATCCGTTTAGTAAACTTTCTGAGCCACATGAACTGAGTATTTGGCTGAATATAAACATTTGAAATGATTGACAATTTGATAGGTGAACAAGCATATCCGAGAGATGACGAGTTATTTCTGCTTGGCCGTAGGTGACTGACAGTTGTTCTGAGAGCTGGTTTCTATCCCTAACCTCAGAATTTCACTGTTGGCTTCGGTGGTGTTCTGTCCGCTAAGCTTGATAGTTTTAGCTGGTGTTTAGAATCAAAGTGAGAGCTTCGTGATTAAATTTTTCTGCTCAGATAATACACCCCGCCAAAATAATCTTCCTCAACTACAAATATCCTTCGCAATCTCAGTTACATTTGTTTAATATTCAAGGCTGTTGATTTGAACTGTAAAATGTAAGCTTCCCGGTTGGTGTCTGTAACGACTGAGATAAGTGACTGGAGACTAGGCAGTATAGCTCATAATCAGCTCCAATGGCGTAGATGCATCCATGCCTCATCCGAATCGTCACGAGTTTCGTTACTGGTTTGTCCCCTCTTTCTTTTATATGACTTTCTACTGCTTTTGATTACTTTCTCCTCATCTCTTTCATCCTGATGCTTTATACCTCGATATGTTGATGAAAGGTATGGCAGCTTAGACTATCATGCAAGGTCCAATACTGATGCTGACCATAACGGCTTCAAGTCAGGACTTATGGTTACTCGGTTGACTAGGTCGGAGAAGGTAAAGGAGAGTTTGAACTTGGAACTCTTCACGAAAGTCGTTTCGAAACCATGAAACAATTACAAAACTGTGAAAGCACCAATAATCATAACTTATCTGCTACGTTTAATAACCATTCCACAGCTTTGTAAGAGGATCCAGACAGCTGTACTACACCCAGCTTCGCTTCATAAGTGCAATTCAAATGACCTAAGCCTGCTTTATTTGTTACACTGGTCCTCAGTCAACGATTACTTCTCATGTTAAACGAAGACTAGCTGTCTGAATAGTTTTCTCAACAATTATGACCAGCCTCTGATAAAAAAACGCCTATACCCCGTCTAATAATGTTAGGTTAAGAAAACGTTAGTTGGTCAGACTAATGTGGAGCTGTGGCCTAGTGGCTTGGGGAAATGACTATTAGCAGGTAGGGTGGCGGGTTCCAGCCCCGCTCTACCTACCGAGTTTTGGGCAGCCAAGTAGCGTCCCAAGCCCTCACATAATGTGCGTGGCTCATTGCTTACTGAACGGATGTGCATAAAGTGGCTGAGTGCATTACATTACGTGGTGCCAGCTTGTCAAGTGCTTAACAGTTGGTCTGATCTGTGTGAGGGAATCCAAACTTCAAAGACGTGACAACTGAAATCAGTGATATACTAAGTGGTTAATGTGGCTTATAATTGACCTCAGTGGAGCAAGCGCACCCACTTACCATATTGCTCGCACAGAAGGGCCACATTTCAATATACTGTGGTATATAAGCAGAATTTTTCTCCATACTGCACAATTTCGGCTGTGATTCCTATATAGAAGTTTCCCTAGAAACATTTCGAATCCTACGATAATGAATGTAGGACCAAGTTGACAGTATTCGAGTTTGAGGGCACATAAGCCACCCTGCAGAAGGTATAAACTATTTCGTAATCTAAAAAAACAGACTCGTCACCAACTAATACTAGGAGGATTTCCACTAGGTTGATTACATAATCTAACATCTTGTGAATCTACATTTTTAAGCAATTCTATTTCTACCTTATGATTGGAATCTCCTATGTTTGAGAACCGAATAAATACTCACTAACTGGCAAATATGAGGTAGTAATACAAGCTTACAATCGTAACCCTGTCCAATTTAAATCGGGTAGACGCCTACACTGATCGCTTCCCACTAATCTTGATAAATTCAGGAAATTCACAGATGTATGTTATTAGCTTTATCAGAACAATTATATCAAGCAGTAACTGTAACCTCATACTACAATACAATGTCTTCAAGATATGGAGACCGACCAACTTACATCCCACAAACCAACATAAGTCGTGGCGCTAAACGGACATCTACTTCATTTTGGAAATCTTAAACAAATATGATTTCAATTACGAGACTTCAGTAGAAACTACTACAGATGGTATGTTTTGCAGTATTTTCTGTAGTATAAAACTTTTCTGTTGCAGGTTCTGCGTACAGGTGTCAACAACTAGGACACGCACAGAAACTAAGCCTGGAACATAGCAGGTTAGATATCAGGCATGAATTCTGTTCCCTAAGAGTTGTTAAACCCGAAAACGCTCTTCTTGAAGACGTGATCCAGGCTAATTCGTCTGAATCCTTTAAACACCGACTGGATACCCACTTGACGTGTGTCTGGGATCTGCCCAGAACTAATTGAATTTTCACACTTTAATCTCCACTTTTTCCGCTTTCTTTACTTGTACACAAGTTAAAAACCACAAGCAGAAGTGATCCACGGATTGTAGACACAAAAGCCATTTAAGCGAAGGCTTCTATTCCATCAACAACCATTTGAACCATTTGAGTAGGCGACTGCCTATTTTTACCTGAAATCTTCAATCTCCATCTTCGTCTGCCAAAAGAAAGAGACTGTCAATCTGGTTTCATTCATTTTTTCCTATGATCACAAACTGTGTGAAGGAATATGGGTACTACGATCTCGATCTTAGGGTGCAGGAATTAGATTCCTACGAGTCTCTTTGTTTATCGTGTGTACTTTCGATGGAATAAGATTGGAAGATGAGCCAGGGACTTCCATTCACATATTTCAACCTGCACCTACAATCGTTTCCGAAAGGGGTAGATTTTGAATCCACAATCGAATATGAGATGTGGCTGCAGATCAGCCTCTGTCGATAGTACTCTATGGACATCAACGTACAGTAACTAGTGTGCTACAGAGTGCTTCATCCAGGCATACTATCCACCATCAGGCTTGCTCCAGACGAATAAGGGCATTGAGGAATGAGACACATCACATGTATCTGCGCATTCAGAGGCCAAAGGCCTCACTGGGACGAGAGATTGTCCGTAGTCCTGATAATTATCCGAAACTCGTTGACAGATGAGGCTGGGTGCTCCTAGCGCACGAAAAGCCCATTCGCACATCTGCTGCCAGACGGTCTTCTTTCAACAACAGCCACGTGTGTGAAATATGACTTTTAGCATAATGTGAAGGGAGCAGCCGTCTTTCTACGCTTGTGGATCATTTCACGAGGCGTCCAGATGCGAGACCTATTGGGATATGACGTCTGAAACCACCCCTAGGGTTTTCATCGAACAGTTCGATATAACAGTACCATCGACATCAGGAAGGCGCGGACTAAGCCGACTACACGTCTCAAAGGACTAATTAACTGCCTGTAGTCTTATTGGGTATCCTAAACAACATAGCAGCCGATATTGTATCTAATTCTACAGAAATAATCCAGGAAACTATTGTTCAGCTACCAGATGAATTCATACCGTCTTCAACTGTCAAATCTGTTTCCCACACCTACTTCACCAAGCTTACGAACACGATGTGTTCTTTAAAGCCCGCCCCCGCTCAACCACGGGCAACCAGTATCTGTTTCCACCCTTCCTTGCAGAAAACATGGCAGATTTCAGCACACATACTGTACCATTCTCCCACTCGTTCGAATCATCCTACTGAAGACCATTCAAAGCCATCAAGATACATGAAAATTTTATTGTTGTCAATCGAAATGGGCACCAAGACACCGTAAGTATCAAACCTTCGGAACCCGCCTACGATGACCTTATATCTCGCCTGAATAACCAACCAGCGGATGACACTCCCAGTTTCGAAGGCTTTGACAATCCATGTGTCGATGTAGGCACCTTAAACACGGTTAAAGTCTGCTCTCCAAGTTTCGAGAAAATTTGAAACCATAATTAGCCGCTTATTCCGTAAAATTTACGTATTTCTTGATACTATCTCATGGCAGTATTTTTATCGGTGACTCAAAATGTTTTGGTTCTTTTTACAGCTGTGGTATTACTCTTCCGTATTGCCTGTGTCACTTCCGTAATCGATGCCAGCTTTATGGACGTTCTTTTTCCTGCCCATGGCGTAATCACTCACACCATTTCCGTTTCCTTAAAAATTTTATTTTTGTGCCACAAGCCTCTGTTTCCTGTCCCAGGTGCAATGAGCACTTGACTGAAAGCCAGCGAAGCGTCAGGGTGGAGGCCAAGCTTCTTTGCTGTCGGTTGGATTATCGTCTTCAAGGGAACCACAAAGTAGGTTCAGATATCAGGGTGACACTCCAGTGAATGGGCCTACCAAGAGAGGTTTACTGGTGGTCAAACCATTAGCTTATTATTTTTGGCTGGTTTCTCCTTGCGGTCAACAAGAAGACATCTATGAGTGAGCTACAGTAACCGTTAAACCCCCCAAATAGAAATCATCACATTTGGCGACATTCAAAATTTACCCTGACCTTTATAATTTAATGAGGGCTGTTTTGCTAAAGGCACATAGCCAAGTATCCACACCGTTTTGGTAAGTAGTATTGAATTGTCATATACATTTCTGACCCCCTAGCCCTCTAGTTCAAGCACTTCCCAATAGCGACACAATTTCACAGACATATGGTTTACGCCCAGTTAAGCAATCGTGTTCTTTAATCATCTTACACTCCTGTGTGGGTGACATGCCTGATCAATTAGTAGTTGGGGTCTGTGTTCGGCCAGAATGAGCATGACAACTCATAAATGATCTTCAGCATGAAAATCGTTCGTTCGAAGCCATAGTTTATTACTGCCTAGAGACATCTCAAGTCTCTGAATGAACTCTTATGCACTAAAATCGGCCGGCCAGTGAATGCACGAAGGGCCGCTGCGTTGCTAGGAGCCTGTCTAACGTACAGATATGTGTGTACAGGTGCTTGCATCCGTGAATAGGGTACTTTAAAGGATGTCTTTTGACTCACAATAATCAACATTGTGTTCTAAGTAGGTGTCTCGGAGTAATAAAACGTGCTTCATGCCACGGCATATGGGTACCAACAGAAGCTCATGAATCTAGTCCAACCTTCTGAATAAACTTTTCCTCTGATCATTTTATCCGTAGTGATTCCAAGAAGTCATGATTTTCGCTGAAGATCAGTTATACCTTGTGGAGAAGGAAAGACTGCATTGAGCAAATTCGACTTCGCTTTATAATTGTGAACGCACAACTGCCCTTCTGATTGCACAGACTCCGTGGCAGGTAATCACTTGGTTATTATTAATTGCACAGAAAAGTACAAAATCCCGCCACAAAATGAGGTTATGTCAAGTTAAGGTACCGGTTATGGATGAAGCGTGTGGGTAGGCCAGCCGAATCCGGACATGCCCTCCAATCCATCTCTGGTTACCGTCAATGACAGAATGCTTGCACCTAGAACGTTATATGCGATAGGTTATTTGAGTGATGGACCTCAAGAGACTGTCCAACACAATAATGGCGCCTAATGAACAAAAGAGGAGTTGGAGTTTCAGGAAGCATGGTTAAGGACAAAGTAGCTGCCGAAGATGGGGGCGTTTGTTCTTTTATTTATGCATTTAACGCAGTTTTAGTGCATGATGAGGACCAATAGATACGTCGTACAAAGTAGCACAGCGACATTTAGGAGACACCAAAAATAGGGCAATGCGAGCATTTCGCAAGAGGGTTACCAAAGGCGTAGCCCAGGTGGTGCATCCAAAACAGTGCTCACTACCTTAATTTTACTTTACAGCAATAGCAGCAAAGAGACTGCAGCATGACAGCCACCGGCCTCCATTCTGGACCGCCAGCCCTATTGTCTCAGGCCATTAAGTAGCATGGAATGCTAGGTCTCTTCCGGGTAGTCGTGAGACACCTGCGGATTTTAATCTAATACAAGAATCATTAATCAGACGGAGATGATCTACAGAACCAACAATCCTGCTTTTCCTCCAGTCAGTCGCAAGACAGTGAAATCGTGAACTATATGAAGCCATTTAGTTAACATTCCTGCCACATATCCATGACATCGGCATCGGTAGTTCGAGACTCCAACTGATAAATGGGTGCCTTCATCTAGCTGAGATACACGTAATTTTACCTCGGGACTATGCACAGAGTGTTTTTAACAGGCTGTGGTAATCCTACACCGATAGTAATGGGCGATCATAGCCCGTGGACACCCTCAGGCCACAGAGGTCACTTTTCATAAGCATAGAACCACAATCTTGAGGTGTTAATTTAGCTTATGACTTCTATGAATCGCCTAGTAACAAATATGGTGGTAAGCTGGGGAGTATGCCTCCTTTATTATGGGTGTGGCACTTGGGTTTCGGATGATACACACGTTTCCTTTGGATTCATGAACCGACTTACACTTTTTGAACTGGTGTCTGTATTCTGTGGTTGGGCAGTCTCATTATCATCAATTTTTAAATTGGTGTACCCTGACGACAAGCTTCCTGCCTTCTCATAATGACAATGGAGGGAGAATAAAAGGGGGACGAAATGAAACACTAGCGTTTTCCGAACCATGTCCCCAATGTCCTGCTTGATTGCTTCATTTCTTCTTTGCCCTACATTATTTTCAGTTCGACTACGCGTGCATTTCCGAATCTCCGCAAATATTCGCGTAGCGTTTGAAATTGTTACAGTTCAACGTGATTTCATAACCGTTTCAAAATTTCATTATTAACGCCGTCACAAAGCTGTCCAAGTTTTCAAATGACTAGCCACACATCAGGTAGGCAGCTAGATATGGATAATGACCGTAAAAAAGCACGGGCAGAACTATCTGTGGAACAGTGAAGCAACAATACCGAAGTGTTGGTAACACCAAGAGCAGGTTTCCCTTACAACAGCATAAATTAATCAGCTTACACTCCGGTTATGCTCAAGATGAAAAAACTAGACTAGCTAAGTGAGTCAACGTTAATAAAAGCAACCATAATAATAGCATATTTTGAATACTGAATCATACGAAGACATGGCACTTTTATGGGCAGTATCCGAATGTCGTTTTTCCCAGTGAAGCGTAGAAAGTTTTAGAGGAAAAAAACATCGCGTCATACAGGGTCCTGTAGA